ACTCATTTTTGCCGATGCGTTGCACTGCTGACCGCTTGGCGGTTTGAGTGTCGTCTGGCGTACGAGTCGCCGCTCGGCGGCTTCCGTGTCGTGTCGTGTGGATAGCTGGTTGCTCGGCCGCTCGGCGGCTTTCTTTCGTGTCGTGCGGATAGATGGCCGCTCGGCGGCCCGGATGTTGTTTGGCGTTGCGAGTCGTTGAATAGTATGTGTTGCGGCTTGGTTTAATTTAGCTGCTAGCGAGTCCCACACGGGGGGCCGACATCATGACGCCAACCGAGTCCTGCTGTGACTCGGTGGCTGTTACTGTCTGTCAGTTGTCGTTCTCCTCGTCCTTGGGTAGAGACGACTCGCTGTCGTCCTGGCTCCAGTAGCAGGGGCGTTGAAGTCGATGGATCCAGCAGCAGGGGCGTTGAAGTCGATGGATCCCGCAGCACACTCGCAGCAGCAGGGGGGTCGAAGTCGATGGATCCAGCAGCAGGGGCGTCGAAGTCAATGGATCCAGCAGCAGGGGGGTCGAAGTCGATGGATCCAGCCGCAGGGGCTTTGAAGCCGTGGGTCCAGCAGCACACTCGCAGCAGCAGGGGGGTCGACGTCGATGGATCCGGCAGCAGGAGCGTCGAAGTCGATGGATCCAGCAACAGGGGCGTCGATGGAGCCAGCAGCAGGGGCGTCGAAGTCGATGGATCCAGCAGCAGGGGCGTTGAAGTCGATGGACCGGCTCCCTGGCCGACGGAAGATCTCCCTGAGAAACTCGCATCGGGGAGGAGGACGAACCGCACCACCCTGCGCAAGCCTCGAGCAGCATTTGCACCACCCAGAGGGGCCGCCCCTGTTGCGAGGAGGTACACACCGGGGGGGGGCACCGCGGGGTTAGAGGATGGGAGCGGGGATGCTTGGGGGATGCACCACTATGGGCGGATCTCGCCTCGTGGTACCGACAAGTGCGCGAAAAAGCGTCGCCCGTCGAACAGCGTCCGCGACGTGACTGTCGCGAGTCGCGACCGAAAACCGGCCAAGAAACATCGAGCTCGCAAGCGCGCCCGTGTGTCTGTGAGCGCGTCGCTGCGGCTGCGAGTACGTACGCCACCGCACGCAGGCGTGC